AAGGTTGAAAGTGAAATTTAGAATTTTCCGTTGCGGAAAAAGACTTGCTTGTTTAGCAATATTAGCCTTGAAATATATTTAGTACTAATTAAAAACCGGTGCTACTTGGAGATAAAGGAGTAGAAGTATTGTCACTCAATTTAGCAAACAATCCGTCTGTGTCAAATGCGTAGGTGTATTAACAATTCTAGTTCGAACTGACATAAAAATTATCCGGTTTTTAAAGAAATGCTTACAAGCTATTATTTATCTGAAAAATTCCGCTGTAAATATGAAGCGGTAAATTCATCACAGGTGATTTAATTTTTGCCGCGTTTGTGTTTTCGTATCTAAAAAGATTAAAATTAATTTTGTCGTCTCCAGCAAGTTCAAAATAGTTTTCCACGGCGGCAAAAAAATTTGACTCAAGTTGGTCTCTTCCAATATAAAATCCGTAGCCTGATCTCGCCTATCGTCAATCAAACTAGCTTATGATGTTTGGAGCGCCTGCCTTTCGTCATTCGCTCTGACGAAGGGCAAACGCTTGAAACTTTAGCTTAAAAAACCCTCAGTCACGCCGGCCAATTTATATTATCAACTCAGTTGATAAAACCAGGTTATTTTGTAAAAACCTCCCACCAACGCAGCACCACAGTTTCCTTAGAACTGAACTTACAGCCCCTTTCCCTCGTTCTCGTCACGCACTATTCAACAATTTGACGTTGTCAGCTGTGACAAACGAAGTTAAAGCTTCACTTTGAGTTAAAACATTTTGTACTCCAAAGATTCAAAGATCAGTTGTCTGCGCTGTTAACGATACATTCTTATTATTTCCGACTAGAGAATTTGCTGTGAAATCAAACCATATCCCTCGTTTGATACTTCTCTGTATCTTTCCCACCATTTACCTGAAAAAAATTCGACATCATCAATAGAAATCGTCAGGGGAAAAATCTCTAATCAACTCTGAAGGTGAAAGGGTCAAGAACATTTCCCATAATGCACGCTAAAAATATCAATTCTATCAACTGGTAACAGCGTCGCTGAGTGTTGTGTGGGAGAATTTCATGCTGCATCGACGAGTTACTCCACACGACACGATACGTACATCAAAAATGGAGCAAAGAAAAATTACAAGTTGTCATATGTCCTTACCATCAGGAAGTTACCCATTTGTAGAACGCCTTTCTTTTGCATCCAATTCTTTATGTTGTTGACAACATTATGGTGCAGTGCTAATTAAGTCATGTTATCTTTCTCAGATCATTTTACAAGATGTTGATTAAGTAAAATGTTCTCCTGGGTCATGAAAACGCAAAATAATGTAAAGCATTCGCAACGGCTAATCAGGATAAAAGAAGATATCAAAAAGAGACAAAGAGTACTTTTATCTCTCATTGTTTCCTTCTGATAAATCGTCGTAGAATGTCGTAAGCGCGGGAAATCGCGGGTTAATAGGTCGTGACTGATTTTTGTTTTTCATATGATTGGTTGAGAGGATGGCGTGACTTTTCTAGATCAGTCACAGAGCGGAGTCAAAAGGCAAAAGCAGAAAAGTCCCAGATTTCTTTTGACACTCGATCGAAGATTGCTTATTAACGATCGATTATGGAACACACCCAAATAAGTTCTGATAATGAAAATTGGAACAAGTACAATTACAGATGGAAAAGAGAACTTTTAAAGCTTCCTTGAAAGCGTTGCAAAGAAGAAGTGGACAGTTTCTTCTTTAAAAAAATTCGTCTTAAATAAATGTAGTGATATGTAGGTGTTTTAAAAAATATCCTATTTAGCTAATCGTATTCCTTGTTGGGATAAACCATTGTCTCAAAGCATAACATACAACTGGCAGATTTTAAAATTTTTCAGAATGTCAAATGTCTCAGAAGTTAAGGCGAATCTTCGCTCAAGCTTAGGAGCCATGTTACATTTCTCGCTGCTTTCGTGGATAAAAAATACTGTAACAGTTGTTAAATTTGTTTAAAAATGGAACTCACATAAAGGCCCGACAGGAAACATTAACAATCAAAACACAATTACATTCACGAACAAAGAGAGACACTTGTTTTTGTTTTATGATAATGTTTTAAAAATTATAGTCCAGAAAACATCATCACCAAAAAATGGATTTCAGTTTTTACTTCAAAGTTCCCATTTATATTCTTAAAAAGCTAAGGAGATCGTAAGATAACCTTGGTAAGGTTCTAAAACAGGAAAACTTTTTCTGTTGCTATATCAAAATTAGAAGCCTGGTAATTTGTGGTGAAACGCTTTGTTAGACTTCTCCGTGGGTCTTCTGGAATCGTGCAGATTCTTACCGGGTTTCTCTTTGCATAAAAGAAAAAAGGTTAAACATATGCAAATGAGTTATTTCCTCAAACTTTACTTCGCTATAACGTATTTTGTACAAAACCGATTTTCCAGTTGACTGCCCTGTCACGTGACATTATCGAAGAGAGTTAATGATACGCGAAATTCACGCCTGAAAATCTCGAACCAGTCCTTTCCGGCTTTAACTGCAATGAACGTTACGAGAAAAATTGCATTTTTTTTTCAACTAAGTCGGTGTAGTTCTGTTTAAATCAGATTGGAAATCATATTAGCTTATGACTTTCTCAAAAGGCTTATCTGGTGATATGATGCTTTATTAAAATGATAAAAGACAGGCACTTTCTTGAAGATATCAATCAAATTTCAAGCGGAATCTCGAAACTTTACATGAAACATGGCACCTTGTTCAATTTCCGAAGTGTATATGGCTTTAAGCACAAAAAAAACACGTCTTTGTGTGCTTCCTTTAAACGTATCTAAGCAGCAGTTAAAAGGTTGAATTTGTATCATAATGAAACAGCAAATTCAATCTACTTATCCAGGCTACAGAATCAGACACAATAGTTGTTTCCGATAGCCTCAAAACATGCTCTTCGGTGTGTTGTGACTTAAAAAAAGGAAGATGTATCAGAAATGTCTCCTCTCATTTTGACGTTCGTGTTATTGCTGCAGAATCAGTTTGAAAGTAAGATATATCGTTCTCTCTCATTCATGTTCCCTTTTTGATTTTTTAGTTCACTTGGCCGTTTAATGAAAATAAACACGCTTTGAGGTTGTGTTTTAATCAAAAGAGAATTTACTCATAACGGACTAGCGAAAAGAACAATGAATTCTATTTATTTCTGTACCTCATTACTCATGCAGATATATGCTTCTTTTTCAAAAACGGAACTCTCTTTTTTGAGAAAGGACACATATTTTAAAATCATTAACATCTTTTAAAACGCAGTTTCGTCTCACTGTAACGAGTTATTTAAATTGACGCTGTGTCGTCAAAAGAAGGTTGCATGTTTTTGTAGGGATAATCTGTGAAATTCGTTCACCAAATCAGCTGCAAAGGTGTCACATTGAAACTCTTACGTTCAACCTTATCTTTCAGCTACATGTGGCCCATTGTTTCGATGTAGTTTTCACATAATCGCCAGATGGCAGCTAATAAAATTAGCTTTTCGAAAACCACAACATCATTGGTTATTCACGCTATCTGCGAGGAAAACCCACTCGGAGTTGAGCTGTGTAAGTTGGAACAGTGGGTGTGGAAAGCCCAGTGAGGCTCTTCCAAGATTGGTAGCCGTATATTTGCTTCTTTTCGAGTCGAATTCGTTAATTTCTGAGCTTTTCATACGCACAATACTTCACGAAGGATTGATCATTAATATGGTAAAACACACACGACTCTGACACGTCTAATTCTTGTAGGCTCCACAATCAGGCATGAATTAAGAGATGACAACAGGCGTTACTCTTGAATAAGACCCAACGTGTAAAGAGTTAGAAAATCATTAGTATGTCACCAATGAACCACTAATTAGAGACGTGAGTCTGTAATCACTCATGGAGTCTGCTTGTGCCGTCAGAGTATTGTATGAAATTTCTATAATCAATTACCCCGGCGCCAGGTGCAATTCACAAATGTTACTGGGTATGCCTCCTGGGCCAAGTTCTACCTTTGTCCAACCTTAAAAGCTTCGTACCAACAGCTATTGTCTGTTAACCACTGGGAGAACGTCACGAGAAAGCCGTTTTTCGACGGATTGTGAACCGCAGAAAGAGAAAAAAACACTAACCCTTTACCGATTTATGAAAAGAAGCTGGGATTCTTGCGCATGCGCATAAATTAGTTAAGACACCGTTGATCGTCAGAGTGTTTACACTTTTAGAGAAAGAAGATTTGCCAAGGCATCTAAAGGTGAAGTGATTTTCACCAAGGGTGTCTCTACTAAATATTTTTCAAACCGTTATCCGATCGTCAAGGCCCCGCTCAGTCTGACCTTTTCAAACATGCAAATTTCAACCAACGGGGTAATTTTGCAAAATTAGACGAAATTGACGGTCGTAGCTTGAGTGTACGGTTTCCAATTATTAGCAGAAACGGGATAGTTTCCAAGAGAAAGGATGTCATAAAAGCATGTTTTTGATATGACACTCCTCGGTTTCATCTTGGGGAAGCGCTATTGAGGATCAAACGCAGCTAATTTTGGCTTTGTTGGTTAGCTTGTTAGCAGAACGGTGTTTTTTAAAGAGCCCATCGATCTTTGTTATCTAACGTGCAGAATTAATGATTAGATAGCACGTGCTTTATTTAACAAGAATTTGCATTGTGAATACCATTATGTGCTTGATTTACTTGTCTTTAAATTCGTGAAACGATGAGTACGGATTTATTTTTTTTCCCGAGGCGTGCCTAGTCCAAGTCTTTGTTTACCTGTATTTCTCTTTGTGACCACGTGCGAATTACAAATCCTACAAAACTGACCTGGCGTTTAAGAGTTTAAAGTTAAACACAGCCAGCCTTCGAAAGCGCAAGAACACCTTAACATACCAACCGCACAATAATTTGCGCCTTGGTTCAGCATAAACAGGTAAGAGGGCGTTTATCTGCGTAAATTACATCTAGACTTTAGAAAAAAATATTAACAGGTAAGGTTTGATAAATTAATTACTGCGGGTACTTTTTGATCATTTCACGTCTGCAAGAACCTGTTATTAAGTTTTACTTTCCATAGGAATCGCACAACGCTTGAAAAAAAATAATAATAACCAAATCATGGCTGAAACGCTCGTTAAATTTATTCGCAACCTAGCTCTGACTTTTTGTTTATTTATCATAAAAGTATGTCATGTCTTTTCTTTCAGGTTGCTTCAGAGATATTTCTTGGCAATGAGCGCTCAGGAATCAAGAAGGGGTCTTTTTCAAAGCCAATCGCAAGGAAAGAAATTTAGCTCCATAACCTCCAAGAGTTTTATGAAGCAAAGTGGAGGAAAGCACACAAATGGGAAATCGTTGGGCGTGCAGCTGGAAGATAAAAACTCCAAACTGTTGACAAATGCCATACAAAGTGATTCAAGGGGAACAAAATGGGCAAAAACTCATGGCAATGAATGGCAAGCAAAGCGGAGGACGCGTCCGAGTGGGGTTAGAACAACAAGACAAATCAGGCGAAACGAGAGAGAAAGAGGGAGGAAAGCAAGATTAAACGCGGCCTTTCAAGTCCTTCGTTCAGTTGTACCAAGTAACGTGAATTCTTCTGGAGGAGTCAGCGAACGAAAGATGACTCAAGTTGAAATCCTACGTCTGGCTAAAAATTATATTTCGAACCTTACGGAACTACTCGACAAAATCAAAGAAGAAGAGAAGTACTCTCTTCGAGCTTTCAATGCTTAAATACTTTTATTGTTATCGTGATGAGATTCCTCCCGTCACTTTGGTAATTTTGGTTTTTAAAACTACGTGAATGCAACGAAAAGCCAGCGATTAGAAATTTAGAAATACAAAATGCTGAAGCAAAAACACCTCTGGTTAATTTGAAGTTCACCGAACAACTGCAACGAGAACCCCTTGAGACTTCACTCTCGGCAATCTAATTAGCATGTTGCAATGTGACAGTTGTATCCCCTTTTTGTTAAGTGACAATGAGATGATATTGTTTTAGAGTGTTTTCTCGCAGAAAATAAAGCTGTGAAAATTTCCCGATTCGGGGACTTAAACGCTGTACGAGCAAGTGCTTTTTTTACACATTGTATTATATATTGCAAACAACAACAAAAAAATAACCTGCCAAAATGAACTTGCAAAATATTACACGCGAAACGGTAAAAGTGCCACACAGGATTGTATTCGTCCTTGTCTGGTGAATATGAGTAAACACTTCTTAATAAAGTCAAATGGTTGACAATGCGTTTAAAGGACTTGTACAATCTCCTTTTGTTTAACCACGAACTAACGAAATTAACTTAAGAAACAAGAAAAGAATTGCTCTGCGGAAGAGAATCGCACGCTTCGTTGGGAAGAGCTTCGTGTTGGTCCTTCCAATTGGTCATGTTTTGTATCATTATTTCATTATTGTTTTTAACCGCTTTTACAGTTAAAAAAAGATGATCCACAATTTACAAGTCGTGAACAAAGGATTGAAATAGATAGGGCAAGATTGAATGGTAACCGAGTGGAAAGAATGTGCTATTCTAAAGATTTTGTTATTCGTGGTTTGGGCGGTCTCTATCGCTTCAAGATCATTGACCGATTACTGCCAAAATTAAATGACGACCTGGATGCGAATTCACTCGATTAAGTCAAATTTTACCTTCGCAACCGGGAGAACTAACAAAATATTTTGCTATCAACATGTTTTAAATAATAACCAGCGGGAAATATGAGATTTAAAAGAGTTTAACAATGCAGTTGATAGGAATCGCCCAACTTGTATTTTCTGAAAGCATTTGTCTTCAGCCAAATGTTGCTATCATCTTTTAAACAGTGTCTTTTATTACTTGACACTTCGATGTCCTCTCATGAGGAAAATCTAAAGTTTCCCTTTACATCGATATCTTTTCATAGATAACGTCGTCAGTGCCTTCACACTTGCTAAGAATATATTGGCTTGGGCGCATGAAGATCTACGGACTGAGAGCAAAGTTTTCTGCAATACTTCATTGTCAAATTCACATCAACATTTGTAAATAACACTTTACTTACACTGAAAAATGATGGTCTTTTCCTTTCAGCGAATGGGTCATGTGGATAATATTCGTAGAACTGTCTTCGGTTTAAGTTCATTTCCTAAGCTTGATTATTGCCCAAAAAAATATTTAACCAATCAGATTGACGTTTCTAAAATTATTAGTGAATCAAACGGTTCGAGTTTCTTCACTCGAGCGGTTTTCCCGCGCATATTAGGCGCCGAGTACATGATTTCCCGCTTAAGCCTCTCAGTTAGGTATCTTCCCGAACTAATAAGGCGCCGGTTGCATGTTTTCCCGCGCTCGGCTGGCGCCATGACTATTTTTGGTTGGCTATGATTAGCAAACATAGAAGTGTTCCTCTTTCAGCTTCTCAGAAATTATGGTGACATGACCTCACCAAGATACCAGTACTCATAAAGAAAAAAAAAAAAAAGATATACCAGTCGATTTTCTCAGTTTCATTTAACGAAGTGAATCGTAAAAAAGAAGACCTAAGATCCTTTTGAAACCAATTCCTATTTCGAGAAACGATAGTTATCAATGGGTTTTCGTTTAAAAGAAAGTATCATATTTCCCCTCAACACAGTCGCTGCATGTTACAGCGGTAAAAATATCTGTTACCTCAACAACAACTACGAATAGTTAATCAGGCTTACACCGTCAAATGGACAAAATATTTTATCGCCAACAGTCAAAGGTTTTTGGCCTTTTTGGGTGGTAAACCAATTGGTAAACCAATTCTTATTGCTATCATGGATAGCAACAAGAAACAGAGATGCTATAATTTTTTTTCATTCAAGTATTATATGATGGTATCGGGCCCTTTTTTTTTTCTTGTGACTCAAAAGATGTTGTTTCAGGCAATGCGGATAATTAATCTCGGTTTTCAGGAAACCACATGATGCCAGTTGGATTTGATAAAAAAATTATGAAAAATGGATGTAAAAGACCAAACGGAATGAGAAAGGCAAAGGAAGGTGAGGATTCACGCGGATTGAGATTGGAAAATTGAAAAAATATGCTAAATGATTCACAAATCCTAAAATGTATCATTTAAAAACTTACCCACTCTTCCTGTGTAGAAACTGCCCTTTCTGGTGACTCATGTTTCAGTTTTGTTTCCTTAAATTTATGTGTTTTTAGTTCAAAATAATATCGAAGAGTTTTTACAATCTTAAATGCGATTTATGAGAAAAGATGTTTTAACCCTTTAACTCCCAGATCGAATTTGTCATTCTCCTTACTGTCAACCATACAATTCTTATAATGTTAGTTCAGAGAATTTAGTATTGGATCAACTAATTATCCCCAAATTGATATTTTCTTTATTCTCATCACTTATCTAGTTGATATTGTATTGATATTGTAAGGAGAAATTCTATCTTGGGCACTCATGGGAGTTAAAGGGTCAATCTGAAATGTATGATTTCTTTTCCCCACTAGGATCGTTTGACACTTCCTTAATTTCCTTAAAACAGCTGACAACTCCTGAACCTTTTCGAAGAAGTTCTCATAACTTTCGAACGTTGCCAAAAACGTTTGAGTTACGAATGTTTTGGACTCAGTAGTGGCATTTATTCCCCTTCACTGGTCTATTTCGGATGGAAATAAATCTCAATTTAAGGTTCCAGAACAACATATAGTTCAGAATAGCTGGTTTTGCATTGTTGAATTGTCATGCATGTCAGTGATCGATGTTTTCAATCCGCAGGCGTGTGGCACATGCTTAATTCGTGTGAGGAAAAAATCTTTAAATCAGAAGAAAATCTCTATTCCCCCCTCCTTTTGCCTAATTTGGAGAGAGAAAATCTTTTCAAGTTCAGTTTTGATGGCTTTGCATTGTCATCTTCAATGGGTATTTATTTACAAAAAAAATCGAGTTTCGATTAATTGGTCGAGAAAACTCGTACAAAATTCTCAACCAATTAGATGGTAAAATAAAACGAATCACGACTGGATCACTGGCGTTTTCTCGCGCTTTCGGCAGTTTATAGGGGTTTATTCTGAATTCTGGCAGTGAAGGGTCTGGCCCAAATATTTGCTCACGCTCTTCGCACAGGTAAAGCTTTCAAAAGAGTGCGATGTCGTAATCTTTACCCAACGATGGGGTAGCACTCGAAAATAGTATAATGATGTCACAAAATGGTGGCCAAAAAAATCCTTTCCGTTGAATGGTACCCGGGTTGAGAGGAGAAATTAGCCGGACTATCAATGAGACACTGGAAAGCTAACTCACAAAGAATTTCAGAGTCTGATCAGTTACGCACTTACCCCTCCCCCTGCCATGTTTAGGTTAGGGGAGGGATGGGTGCGTATTTTCTCAGATACTGAAGATATCGGGCTGTATGTAACGGGCGAAAGACAGACGAGCATTGTTGTGAGGCGAAGATGGAACTAAATACCTTCTTTCAAAGGAACTCTTCATTCTCTTATCGAGTGACTTAGAAAATCTTGTGCGCACGGAAATGTGTCAGAAGCATCTTTACCATCAGATCACAAGATTATCGAGAAGAAAGAGGGTTTTCCAAAGTAACAATAACTGTTCAAACAGCTAAGAGCAAGGGTTACAAACTAGCGGGAAACGGCTGTATTCAAAAGTGAATTGTGGCAGGAATAGGGTATAATTTAATTTCACGCTTTATTTTTCGAAAGGAAACGCAAAACACTTGAAAAGTTTCATTAAGAAATATAAATATAAATAGCGACCAACGGCAGATTTCTCAGACAGCCGAGTTGAAAAGAAAATAATAAAGGGGTAAGTTTCTAAAGAAACTGTGGTGCTGCGTCGGTGGGAGAGTATAACAGGTAATTTAGTGTTAACAACTGGGTTGAAAATGTAAATTAGCCACCGTAAAGGGTAAAAAAGCTGACGTTTCGAGCGTAACGTCAGCTTTTTTACCCTTTACGGTGGCTAATTTACGTTTTCAACCCAGTTGTTAACACTAAATTACCTGAAAAGAAAATAGTCGTCGATAAGTTTTTTCGCGTCATGCAATTGACAACTGATGACTCACCACTCTATTCTAAGTTTAACAAAGTTTAAAGAACGAAATGCGAGCGAATAATAAACTTTTTTCCTTTTTGTGTTCTGAGAATATTGTACGTCCGACGGCAAAGAAAAGTGACGGAAGATACTCAACAGCGAGGTAGAATTGACACAATGCCAACTCTTATCTCGTTAGTGCCTCACACCCGTGCAAACAAAAAGTATCAACAGTTTAGTAAAAGTGCCATTAATTGGGTATTATATCGACAGGTAGTTGGGAATCTTTCTCCTGGATTGCGACTAAATACTTGACAAAAGACAGGATGTAAATGATCTCGTTTCGTGATTGCCCACGATTTAATAACCACGTGGCAATGGAAAAAATATAAACAATAACTCTATCGAAATTAGTGTCGTATTAAGTCTGCGCGCAAAAACGTCAAATCAATCAATGTCGTGCTTACGTCACATCACGGAACTTTCAAGGGGTTTCTTATTCAAGTAATGCGTTCTATTAACGTCATATTTACAGTGAAATTAAGCACGCCTGTTTTGTTTCCTTCTGGAAGTGATATGCAAAAGACTTAGACAATGTTTTATTGTTTTAATTTATGTTTACTCACTGCTAACTCACTCCTCTAAAACAATGCATCAAAGTTATGTATTGTTTTTTCAAATAAAAGCGGTTTGAACTGAAGTTTACGAACTCCACCATAAACGCAAATTTTCTCTCTTTTAATTAAGTTGTATTTAGAAAATTTACTTTTTAAGACAACGCATCGAAGTTGTAAGCTAAAACTGGCGTTTCATTCTTTATTTGTAGGAAGATAGCTAAAGATTTTTCACCGATCGAGGACGTACTTTACTGTCTTACCGTACTTTGTATTTTGAATGACAAGCCTGAATGTAATACAATTTCCTACAATCTTCCTGTCTTTTCTTTACGACACGATTCAAAGCATACTTAATATTTCGCTTGTTTGTGTTGCCATGATGTTCTCTGTTTGTTGTGAGATGTGGCTCCTAAAAGCTCAATTTAATT